CTAGCTTTCTGAAGAAGCGCCATATCATTTTCCAAAATGGTTGTATCATTTTGCATTCCCACCAGCAGTGCATAAGTGTTCTGATCTCCCCGCAGCCCCTCCAACATTTGTTATTTCCAGTGTTTTTGATTCGTGCCGGTAATGCCAGGGTGAGATGGTATCTCATTGTGGTTTTAATTAAGAATGAGAGTTTTAAAATATATTTTAAATTTATACTCAATTAGAAAGATAAACAAACTTACTGAGATTTCCTTTCCAATTAGCTGGTAATGTTGTTGGCGATTACTTTTTTATTGACAATCTGTGATAAAATGCCATTCACAGAACCACAGTTTAGCCGAGTTTTTTTTGTTAACTTGACTAGTAAAAATAGATGTGGTGAATGAACAATTGATGTTACTGCTTACTCCAAATAGGACTTTAAATAGGAGTTTTCCAGTCTTTGGTTCTTACCACCATACCAAAATTAAAAGTGTTTCAAAGCTAATACATTTCATGTATTTTCTTTGATGTATTTTCTGGTCGGTAGCCTTCTGTTCTGTATTTTATTCACTCGAGATTAGGGACAGACATTCTCTTTAGTTAATCATAACAATTATCTTTTGCCACAGTTAGCAATTTGGGATTTTTTTATTGTTTTTGAGTACAGTTATTAAAATTATGATAATTAGGAATTTTAGATATGCTCAGAGCCTTAGCCCAGGATTAGTTTTAGCTATGTCCATTAAATTAGTAAATATATTCTACCTTTGATTCCAACACTCACCCCCTCTTCTGGAATATATGAAATCCCAGGGCTGAAGTTGCCCATTGTTAGGGCTGGTTCTGTTACAAAATGAGCCAATAAAATGTATCAACTGGAAATAGCATTTGTTAGAGAAATATACCTGAAATAAAAACCAAGGCCTATTTTGTAAATTGCTCCTTTCTTATCCTCTGTACACAGCAATAGAATTACAGGTTGATGCTGCAGACTTCCCAATGGAGTGAATGCCTGTGGGCTAGCCTTGAAGCTATTTTCTTTGTGGTTTGCCTCCTGTCTACTGGGAAGCTCATGCTCCTTTCATTTTCATTCTTTTCCAACTCTAGCGCTTTTGAACATAGAAGCCCCATCCTCCATCACCCAAACACCACATTCCAGCCCTGTGATTTCATGGTACCAGGCGTATCTCCCCTGCCATGCCTTCACACCGCCTGCTGACTCTTGCAGAGGGAATAGACAGGAACGTAAACTCACCACAGAAAAGCAGGACGCTCTTTGTATGTTTTTAAGACCAGGAATCCAGTTCTCATTTAGAGGCTGTATTTTTTTTTTTTTAACAGCTCCTTAAAAATCGAACAGAACATTTTTTGTTGCTCTTATTTCTTGATAACATCGTCTCCTCCTCACTAATGTATAGAATCACAGAAACTAGAGCATGGAAAAGATGTAATAGATCATGTCTAGTCCATTCCCACTGCTCTTAATTTTTTCTGCCCTCCCCCCAGTCTGTCTTCTAGTGCTTTTTTCTTCTAGTTTTCTCAAGAATTAGTTTCCTCCATTTCTCCAGGGGAATAATTCCTTAGTTTGACCGTGGAGGAATTTCCTGATGTTGTGTGGAAATATTCACGTTCTTTTTTTTTTAAGCTTAATATTCCTAGTCTCCATAACCCTTTACATTACCATAAACAGTCCCTCTTCCTTCTAGGTCAAGTATTTCTCGATGTTTTTTCTCTTCCATTTATTAAGTTCAGAGTTTGTTTTTCTGCTTTGCTCTCTCTCTTCATCAGTCAGTCCCTAAAGCCCATTAATCATTTTTTACTGCAATGAAAGCTTCTTTGCTTATTCCCATACCAGGAACCCAAAGCTGGTTGAAGTCTCTAGGTACTGGAGGAAGCCTCACTAATATGTACGCATTCTAGTTCTCTCTCTCTCTGTCTGTGTCTTTCTCTCCCTCCCGCTTGCCCTCACTTGCCTCAGCTTCTCAACTAGAAATTATTTTTTAAATGTTATATCTAAATTGTTGGAGAGTTAGCTGTTTGAAGGTCTATGTGTGTGTGTGTGTGAATTTAAATGCTTAGATTGTATTTGTTCTTACTTACTTAAAAGACATTTTCCATATCCTCAAAACCACAATTCTGGGGCACCCTTGTTGCTTGGATCACTTGTAATTTTGTACCATGGGTTTATGAGGTGGCAGCACATTTTAAGTCTATCATCTTAAGAATAGAGAGGAAAATGAACAGATATGGGACAAATAGGCACTGTATTTGTAGGATTAGGAATTCTTGCGGAAAGAGAAGGGCAAATCCTAAGTAGCTTTGGTAGTCACATATCCAAAGTAGATTGGCTGTCAGGAGCTAGGTAAAGGTAAAAGACTAGCTAAAAGACTTAATATGCTATATGGCTGAGGATTGGAGGACGCAATGTTATAAAGATAGCTGTTCTCCCCAAAGCAATCTAGCTATACAGTCAGTGTAATCCCAATTAAAAAAAAAAAAAAAAATAGGTTTTTCATTTTTGACGTTTTTTTGGAACTTGACAAGATGCTTCTAAAATGTACTGGGAAGTGTAGCGGGCCAAGGATAGCTAAAATACTCTTGAAGAAGAACATAGAAAAAAATGCTCCACCATGTCCCAGGGTTTACTAAAAAGACAGTGTCGTTCTGGTGGAGGTATAGACAAATAGGCCAAAGGGACAAATTAGACAGCCCAGATACAGACCCAGACATATGTATGGATACTTGATTTATGACAGAGATGGAATTCCAGAGCAGTGGGGAAAGAGCATTTTCAGTAAATGGTACTGGAGCAATCAGGTATCCATATAGAAAAGACTATTTCCCTACTTCACACCATATGCAAAAAACTTTTAGTGGATACAGACCTAAATGTTAATAGATAAAACTTTAAAGCATATATATATAAATGAGCAAGCACAAAATGATTTTATAATTTAAAAAATTATACATTCTTCATGCCTTGTAAAAAATGAAAAACGATTGAAAGTAAAAGGAAACTGAAGCACAAAAAAGTTAAATAACTTGATCAAGAAATAATATTAGAAATAGAGTTTAGGTTTCCTAATTTCTAGCCCAAGATCCTGCACACTAAATTGTAATACCAGCAATTTTTAAAAACTGAATTACATAAATAATAGTAACTTGTGGTCCTATTGTAATGGACTTCATTTCCTTAACTATAAAATGAATGAAATCACATGAAAAACTTTTGAGACCCGTTTAATCACTAATGAAATTTGATTCTATGTCTGAAGTCTTTCTCACCAGCTGCCGAATCACAGTCTTTTCCTCTTGAGAACTCCTGCCTGTACCCCCTGTGTATCTTTCATGATCATATTGCCACGTTGTATTACTTACCCTTTCATAAACGTGTCTTCTATGTCCAATTAGATTGTATTTTCTTGGGGATGCAGACCTTTTCTTGCATGACTTTATATTTGTAAATTTTGGGGTGTAAAAAAGGAAATTTTTTTTTTAATACCCCTTTCTGCATCTAACATAGTACGTTAGACAGAGCAGTCACAAAATAAAAGTATACTGATGATGACTGTCAGATTGTAATTTAAAAGAATAGGACTAGCTATCATAGCTACAGTAATACGGGCAATAGGATTCATCGATTCAGCCTCAGGCAAATATGTTTGTTTTCCTTTGTTCCAGAGAGATGGCATGAAGCGAGTATTTTCTGGCATTCAGCCTACAGGAATCCCTCACCTGGGCAATTACTTGGGAGCTGTTGAGAGCTGGGTGAGATTACAGGATGAGTATGGCTCTGTGCTGTACAGCATTGTTGACCTACACTCCATTACTGTCCCACAAGACCCAGCCACCCTTCGGCAGAGCATCCTGGACATGACTGCTGCTCTTCTGGCCTGTGGCATAAATCCAGAGAAAAGCATCCTTTTTCAACAGTCTCAGGTAAGCTTCTCAGATTGGAACTGAGAAAATTTTATTTTTAGAATTTTCTAAGAAAAATTGAAATGGTTCATACAGCCCCTCTTTATGATTTTTTAATTGTTCAGGGATGACTTCATCAAATGGAATTGTTTTGTTTTAATGTTTTCCCTGTGTTCATATCATTAAGTATCACTATAATGCAATTAATATCTTTCCTCCACTATACTTGGTAAGTTTATATCCTTGATATACCAAACAGTTGTATCTCATTAGTACTTCTACTTCTGAAATTGTTTTTCTGTAGTAGGTTGCATTTAAACTGATGAATTCATACTATTGACTAATCTCCTTGTGATCAAGGATAGAAAAAATTTAGTAACCAGTGGTTGTATGTAATTCCAATGTTGCTTTACTAAGTATGACATTTTTAAGGCCTATTGGATAATTCCCATTGTTCATTCTTTGTATAATAGCTTTTGAGAAGATTTGAGAGAACTAGCTGGGAAACTGGAAGACAAAGTCCCATTGCCTTGTGTTCAAGCCAAGAAGGGCTTCAGAGCAATGCCAAATTCTTTGACTCATGTTTTTACTATGGATGAATCAGTTTACTCTTGGACAGGCAGATAGCCTGACCAAGAGACAGGGCAATTAAGAGACGCCCTAGCAAAGCAGTTGAAAATTTTCACTGGATCACACCCTCATTACATACCAGCTTTAACAATGTGACAAAGCCTCAGCCAAGGAAAAGTATGTTATACATATTATGGTGCATGCCAACGTGTATACATGTTTGGTACTTATTATACATGATAAGATATATACTTACATCTTACCTTCCTTGATAATAAACTTCTGATGATCAGAGGTTATATTTTATATGTTTTCATACTCACAGCACCAAATGTAATGATTCACACAGAGCAACCACTTAATAAATACATAATAAATGAAAAGAGTGTCTTCAAAAAATAAATGCGCTTATTGACTTGAGCTTGTTGCTAGTGTGGAGATAATTTGATAAAGTAATACAATCTAATCATTAAAATGACCATAAAGGCAATTTACCTTACTTTCCTTACAATTGATCAGCAAGATTTAGTTACACATGATTTTTCAAATTCAATGTTGGACAGATCTAATTGCTATAAAGTCCTTGCTTATACTGAGCAAAAATCTGCCTCCCTATAATTTCCACCCATTGATTTAACTTCTGCAGTCTAAAATACACAGTAAGTCAACTCTGTCTCCCACACAACTGCTCTTCAAATACTTGGAGACATTTATTATACACCATCCTTACCCAATAGGTCCTTGCCCTATGGGTTTTGGCTTCTTCAAACTAGTTGTCCCCAGATCTCTCACCCTTTTGGTTGTCCTACTTCATAAGCACTCTCACCTTCTCTCTGAAAAGAATGTGCCTCTCCTATTTTGCAAAGCAATTTTTATTCAAAGTCTTTACATCCATCTCTGACATTGGAGTGCTGGTCATCATTAGTGTCACTTTGAATTACATAGGCATTAATGTTCACTCCATCTAAACTTTTTCATATAAGATAATGTTCATTCCATCTGAATGTTCACTCCATCTAAACTGTTTCTGATATAAGATCTCTAGATCCTGCAGTGTAGTGAGTTACTTAATATGGCCCTTTTAGCTATGGTCTTGTGACTCCCACAAAATGATTGGGTGGGGATGCAAATAAGGTGCTTTTGGCCCACCAAGGAGACTGGACAGCTTGCTAATAATGCAAATAAAGTGCATGGAACCCTTGTGGGGGTGAGACCATGCAAATAAGGTGTATGGAGCCCTAACCAGGGGATTGGTCGGTTTTGCCATCCCTCTGTGCTTAAAGGGAGCCAATCCCAGAGGCTAGAAAGGGGAACTTCACTACCATAAAGAAGAAGAGCCGGGAGTGGACTGTGTCCTTTTGGACACAGGATCCTTGCACTGAGAACTTCCTAGACCCAGGAGACAGAGAGAGTTGTAACACTAAAGACCATGAGAGATGGCATGACAAGAGTAGCAGCTGCATGAGTGGTGAGAACCAGGAGACTGGCACAAGATGGCAAGATGGGCTTCCTGGCCTATGCAATGAGATGGCTATAGTGGGCATGCTGACCCTCAGAGTGAGAAAGCTGAGTGCCCTCAGGCAGGAGGCTTGCTGATGGAGTGGGGTGTCTCTGGGTACTTGCTGGCAGAGCTAAAAAGCTGTAACACTTGCCCAAGTAGGGCCGTGGCCAGGCTGAGGGTGGAGAGAGAGGCCTGCCTGCAGGCATTATCGAGAAGAAGCCATCCTGATTAAAGAACTATATCCTGAGTTGTTCCTGATCCTGAATTGTAACCTGTTACTTCCCTAATAAACCCCATAACTGTGAGTGTAGTCTGTGACTTCTGTGTGGCCATTGCCAACAAATTATCAAACCCAGCAGAAGTAGAGAGTGCCATGGGAAGGATGACTGGTGTCAGAACTGATAAAAAAGGGTTAAAGAGTGGAGGTATGTCTAACGTTTAACTCATGGGAATCAGCCTTGGGCTGATGTTGATGATGATTATCCTCCCCTCCTTGTGAAGTTAGAGGACCTCTGACACTGCGCCATTTTTACAGATCATTATGTGATACTGTTTGTAAAAATTATATCCTTAACCACAAGTACCTATTTCCATACGTCTTGTAAGTGAATATGCCCAATCTCCGCTAAGCAACCACTTACTAGATTGCTTTCTTTTTTTTAATTTTTTTTTATTGTACTATAGATGAAGGTTTACAGAACAAATAGTTTCTCATTAAACAGTCAGTACACATATTGTTTTATGACGTTGGTTAAGAACCCCACAGTGTGTCAACACTCTCCCTTCTCGACCTTGAAGACCGTTTTTTTGGTGAAAATATACGTAGCCAAAGTTACACCATTTTGAAAGTTTCTACATGTACAATTCAGTGGCATTGATTACATTCTTCCAGTTGTGCTGCTATTCTCACTATCCTTTTCCAAATCATTCCATCACCATTATCTTCAACTCACTGTCCCCTAGGCTTCCCATCAAACCTTTTGAGTTGCTGTT